TAGTTGGATAATTCACAACATAATCTATATACTATATAGATTTATTATAAATCCAAGGCAATGCAGAATATTATTTTACCTATCTTAAAAGGCTTTGCTAGTCTACCATCATCCTTCTTCACCAGACAGGAGAAAAAAGAGTGAGAATGTGTTCTCCAGTGTCACTACCAAGTATTTCATCAGACATTTTTCTCTACCTACTCCTGTATCCAATGACAAAAGTCTTACATAAATGTTGATTCTAACAAGAATGATATGAATTATATTTGTTCTTCTTTCTTCTACTATTTATAAAATATATAGTTCTTAAGTTCCATATATATGATTCAAAAATTAAGTGACACCGGATCTCAACTTGTGAGCGTGGCCAAGTTACTACCAGACTAGCCCTTGTACCACAAAAAGCTACAAATTGGACAAAATATAATATAGTAAACAACTGTTTTAGAGAAGTTGGACAACAGGCAGCACAGGAGTGTGATCCTAGAAAGAAGGAAAAAACTGAGGAGTCTGGATAATCAACCTAGACTTTTGTCTAGGGCACTTTCAGGGCTGCAGCACAGAGAGGTAGAAACTAAACAAGGCACATCAAGTCTTACAGAGATAAGAAAAAAGAAATCAAAGTTCAGGGCTGAAAAGGCAGCTGGAGTTTGCAGTACAAAATACCAGGGAAGAGAGATCTGTGCCGCTTGGGGGGTGTGTTTGGAGAAAAATGGGGAGTGACTACTAAGAGGTACAGGGGTTTCTTTGTATAGTAATAAAAATGCTCTAAAATTGATTGTGGTGATGGTTACACGACTCTGAATATACTAAAAATCACTGAATTGTACAATTTAGATAGGTGAATTATATGGTATATAAATTATTATCTCAATAAAGCTATTAAATATAAAAGACTACACACCAAAGAACTTTCTAGTAATGCAGTTAACATAGGCAGCACATTTTAGTGAATGACAAAATATATATGACACTGCTATACATTTTAGCAAAGTACCTTAACTAAAAAATTGTTTTATCAAAATTATTTCCTAAATGAAACCCGGAATAATTTAGCTGTTATGAGAAGAAACTTATTTCCAGATTTATAAATCCTATACCTTGAGGTGTGACCTTCCCTCGAATGTACACTTTCCTCCAACATAAAAGGAATTGCTGAACTACACAGTATAATTCAGATGGCTTAGAGAATAAAGAGCTGAAATAAGGAAAGAAAACCAAACTTACGTCGGGTTCTAGAGTCACACAACGCTGAAACGCCTTTGCTGAACCTCCATAGTCTTCCAAGGCCAAATACGCACAGCCTAGAGAAAACCATACTCCGAGCTGCAAAGACAAAAGTCAAAGTCATTCAAACACACAGATATATTTACAGGATGTAATCTGAAAACTATTTAAGATACTATCAACAAACATACTACTATAAAGAATTCAGGGCTATATAATAAATACTTGCTTTACAGTTAGTTTGAATGTAGGAAATTTAAAAATGGAGAGTCATTTTTCCACATGATTTCCAAAGCCGACACTAAAAGCATGTGCAATGTCACTGCTTATCTTTTGCTGAGAAAGGCCATATTTTGTGTTAACCAAACTCCTTAAATGCGATGGACAGCTCTGTTTATAAACCTTTATATTAGAGCCCGATATGATAAACCTGGGATTAATCAAACTTTTTTTTTTCTTCTTTCTTTTTTTTTTTGAGACTGAGTCTTGCTCTGTCGCCCTGGCCAGAGTGCAGTGGCATTATACAGTAATCTCAAACTTCAGGGTTCAAGTGAACTTCCTGCCTCAGCCTCCCAAGTAGCTGGGACTACAGGTGTGTGCCACAACACCCAGCTAATTTTTCTATTTTCTGTAGAGACAGGGTCTTGCTCTTGCTCAGGCTGGTTTCAATCTTCTGACTTCAAGCAATCCTCCTGCCTTGGCCTCCCAAAGTGCTAGGATTACAGGCGTGAGCCACTGTGCCCAGCCTAATCAAACATTTTTACTGAGTATCCACTATGTAAAAGGTAGTTG